CCGGCCTCCGGCCGACCTCCGCAGCCCCGGCCCGCACGCCCTGCCCCAGCTACCCTTATGCCGAGCCCGAAGATCTGGCTCCGTCCCCTGGATGGGCACCCCAGCCACGCCCCTCCTTTCCCTGAATACACTCCAGCATCCTTTCAAACCCAACACTCCAGATCCTTCCCTCAAAACCTTGCTAGAAGTCTCTACCACACCCCAACTTTTGTCCAGACTCTGATCCCAGAACCCAGCACCTTCCTCTTAGGACAGAAAGTACCTAAATCTACTAGATACTCCCAACCATCAGGCCCCCTGAAATTGTTGTGACTCAGTGTTCCCCGCACAGGATCTACTAGCACACCTTAGTGCTTCTTTCATGAACCTTTCGCCCAGATTCCCCATATTCATATTCCATTTCCCACCCCTTTATCTCCAAGACCTTGAGCCCTGGGTCTGGAGTTTTCCACGATCTTGGTAATTCACAGGTTTTATCTGCTATCCCCACTGCCACACTCTACATAGGTGAAACCCCAATGGCCCATATCTTTGGGGGCTGTCATTCTTCCTAGTTGCTTCCTCTGCTTCTAGCCCCCGTCCCCCAGGCCGTGGTGTGAAAATGTGCTATGTCCTCACAATAACCAATAAAGCATTAGCTATTATTAGTTGACCATCTCACACACAGTAGGTTCTCCATAAGTAAATAGACAGATGCCTGTTAAACGAATGAATAATTGCCTCAGAGCTTGGCCTGCCCCACAATCAGTAATTAAGGGGGCGGCTGTGCCCATCCTGTCAAGCAGATGCAGAGCTGGTTCCAAATCCAGCCTACCAAGTGTTCCCTCCCTTTGCCCTTGCCTCTACCTGTCCCCTGGAGCCATTCCAGAGGGCTGGTCTCAGAAGTCCTGGGTGAGGAGGAGAGACAAGTCACTCAGCGCCCCACAGCCTTATTGGATCTTTCCAGGGATTCTCCTTCTGAGCAGCAGAGGCCTGCCTCTTCTTTCTCTTGACCCCATCAGTGCTTGTTTATTAATTATACTAATAACAACAACAGGGGGGCTGGCGGCAGCCTCAGACCCAGCTGGGGGCGCCCCCAGGCGGCAACACAGGGAAAAGCACTGTCACAGTTGGATGGCAGGGGCCAGATAGTCTTCTTTAAACTAAAGCTCAGGCAATTTTCTTGGGCGCTGTGCGTCAGTTTTAGGACACTTTCCTAAAGGAAAAGACTTGCTGCGTTCCAGAATCCACAGCTTTTGAGCTTGGGCTGAGTCGGATCAGGGCAGGCAGACAACAGTCTGGGGCTGAAGCCAGAACTATTAGGGCAGAGGCTGCTTGCGGCAGTGTGGCTGCTGCAGCCCTGCACTTGAGCCCTTGTCACTTCTCAAGGTCCTCTCCCCCACCTCTTTGGAAAGGACGTTAAGTTCCAATGAAAGGAAACTGTTAACTCTGGCTGACACTGGAAAGACCACTCCTAGAGGATGTTGAACCCAGAAACCAGCTTCTTACTTCCTTTTCTCTCCTCATCCCACTTCCTCCTCCATCATTTCCTGAACCCTGATGAGAATCCCAGCCCAAGGACCATTCTTTGCAACCAAGTAAAATAGGCTTCTGGGACATGTCATGGATGCCTCTGCATTCTCCACTCACAGTCTTGACACACTTCCTATCTCAGCTGCAGGCCTGAGCCACATCACCCTCACCCTGGGGCAGCATCCATTTGGGGCCTGGAGTCCTGAGTGTCTGCTTCCTCTAGCCCTGCTTCTGAACCCCTCTCAGTTCTTAGTATTTTGACCTGCAGGGTAGGAAGGACTGCAGGGTCCTGGTCTTCTGACTTTCCAGCTCACACATAGAGTGCTCACCTTCCTGAGCCCTCACAGACCACTCCTCTTACCTATCTTCCCCCATCTTTCTTTCTCTATGGGCATGATATAGGAACATATCATGGTTATGTTTAAGGGTATGTGAGCAGGTGTGATTCTGTGGAAGAGGTGTGTAGGTGGATGAGAGGGTGTGCATTGTGATGTGTGAGGGAGGGTGTGCATTTGTGCAAACTCTAAATATGACTGACGCTTTGTGGGTGGATAGGGAGAAGATGTGTGTGTGTGACTGGAGGAGGCTGGCTGCCTGTGCAAAGACATGCCTGTAAAATCTCCCTTCCTTTCATAAATGCACTGCTTGGAAGGAAACTAATCAAATCAACAGGAAATGTATTTGACTTAATGCATGAGCAGCTGTCCCAGAAGTTCCTGTCCTCAGAACAGAACCAGAGCCAGCTATGATCTATCCTGGGGGAGAGGAAGAGCCAGCAGTAGCCCCTTATCATGGGTGGAGCTCAGTTGGGCCTTGGCATCACCTTACTCATGTGAAATAAATATCTGCCCACACTCTGTCTTTTATAATCCAGGACTGCCCAAGAAGGCCAAGGATCGAGAGAAGACAAAGACAAAACTGGAAATAAAATACACCTGCCCATAGCAGGAGAACACCTCATTGGCAACTTCCAGCAGTCTCCAGAAGTAGCTGCTTCAGCTTTCTCAGAGTTAGGACTCCTCCTCCTGTCCCCACCTCAGGGGACAAGAGAGAACTAAGGTAAGTCACGGGGTCATAGCAGTCTTGCTGGCCCTGTGAACAAGGCCAACAAGTTCTTTCCTAACTACTGGTTAGAGAGGTAAGAGTTGGGAAGTTCCATTTAAGGAATGGGGCAGGCCATAGATTGTGTTCCTCATCACCTGAGAGAAAGCAGGGAGTCTATGACTCTGGGGGTTAGAGGAAAATGACCTTACTGTGTGATGCTGGGAGTGCTGGGGACTGTTGTACCTGCTGAACATCACTTGTCTGAAATTCCTAATCCAGAAACAATGCCACTCCTTGCCCAATGGAAGATGAAACAGAAAGTAAGTTCCTAGAAGAGACCACACTTTGACTTACATCACCGCGTCTTTTAAATTATCAGGCTTTTCCCCAGAAGCAGATTTAGGAAGTAGGAAGAAAGCAATAAGTCTGAGGTTTCTGAAACAGCAGATGGGTTCAAACCTGTGGAAGAAAAACAAGTGCCCTCTTCAAAATTTCACCTAGGGATGGCCCTGAGAGGAAGAGAGTCAAGTGTGAGTGTGTATGTGTGAATGCCATATATCTGGCCGCCTGTATTTCTCTTTTTGAGCCTCTTTAACAGCAACATGGCAAGTGAGCTTTTCTGGCTCTACTTAAAAAAAAAACAAAACTTTTTATTCTGGAATAATTTAAACATACACAGAAGTGAAGAGAATAGTATAATAAATCCTCAATGTACCCATTACATATAGAAATATTTATAGATATGTGTATATATAACAGTACATATATATTTCTTTTGTCAGCTGGGAAGGGCTGAAAAGCAAGACACCCCAGTAGCAATGCACATACCTACTAGCACTCAAATCTTTGGTTTCAAATACCATTTTCTGGTAAAAGGAACCAAGGGTCCTTGGAGAAATGGCTAATTCTAGGATTGGGGTAGGAAATATACCAGATGAGCTTGGAGCAGCTTGTAGTGGCAGAAAGAAAGGAAGTGCTCAAAAACAAAAGCAACAAACCCAACCTAAAAACATATATGCACACAAAGGGTATGACAAAGGGCCAGATATAAATACAAGTGAATAAATAAGTTATAATTTCTTAATAACTATAAAATATATTATATATTAATAAATTAATTAATGGAGAGCAAAAATAGCCCATGCAGAAGAATTAAAATAATTTATGTATATACTGCACCCTCAAGATGGGGAACACATCACACTCAAGTGTGAGCTGAGTGTAGTGACTTCCTTCCAAAGAGGACAGGATGGAAAGCAGGGGGAAAAAACTACCTTTACAGTAAAAAGACCTGAAAAACATTGCCAAAAATCAGCCAAGTGAATAAGGTTAATGCCAACAGTGTTTAGTCATGTTGGTAGTAGGTATGTTTGATATGATATGATAAAAATGACATTTCAGCTA